GATGCTGAGCAAAACACACAACGTTTAGAACATATCAACATTAGCCGATGCAATTAATGCTTTTCCAGATATACCTATATGTGTGGCTGTTGGATTAATACCTAAATTTTATCAGTTGTTTTGTCTTTCTGTGTCATTCTTAAAATAAATAAATAACCCATTGATAATTGATTCTCATTTAATATTCCACCTACAACCATGGTGACACCAATTTCTAATTGAAATGATAAAAAGGTCATGCACAGCTAGAGTTAAGTTCAGTAATTGCTTTCTGCATATGTTTCAAATTTCAAATGTCATTTCATAGCCAGATTTACAAATCAAAAGAAATGAAAGAGTATGAATGCATTGGGTCAGTTAATTCAAATATGACAAAAATTATATTACAAAGTACAGCCCCTAGATAACACATTTTTTATTAATTAAAATATATCTGCAGAGCTTTAACAGAATCAAATTAAAAAAAACTACATTTAATTAATAAAGATTCTGTAAAAAAGATGCTTTACAAAAGTTGCCAAAGCTTAGTGTAAACTTAAACTAATATACCACAGTTATTGTTATTTTTCATCACGCTGTAATATATTTTAATAATTAGGGATGCACCGATATCAAGTACTGTACTCGGTACAAGTACAAGTACAGTTACTTTTCAAGCATCAAGACTAGACTAGAGAAAAATTCAAAAGTTAGGAGGCAGCTGTCATTTGTAAGGAGCACAGGAGCTCCTGGGATTTGTACATCTTTGTTTTAATTAGGGTTGCACAGATACCAAGTACAGTACTTGGTACAAAAAAATTAGGAGGCAGCTGTCATTTCTAAGGAGCACACGGGGCTCATGGGATTTGTACATCTCGGTTTTAATGTATGATTTTGTTTTTATAAATATAAATAAAGGGTTGCACAGATACCAGTTTTGCGAGTACGAGTACTGGTACTTGCCGAGTACTTACAAGTACGAGTACTAATACAGTTTTGTTTATTGTCATGTGACAGTTTTTCTTAAACAATACAGACTAATGATTTCAGGACATTGGTGGAGTGCCAGAGCCAGGTCCCAGCTGTAACCGCTGCAACCCTGGTAGTTCTCATGAAAATGCCAAGTATCTGCACTGGTACTCGAAAAGTATCTGTGCATCCCTAGTTTTAATGTATGATTTTGTTTTTATAAATGTAAATAAAGGGATGCACCGATACCATTTTTGCAAGTACATGTATTGATACTTGCCCAAGTACTTACAAGTACTGATAAATTTTTGTTTATTGTCATGTGACAGTTTTTCTAAAACAATACAGACTAATGATTTCAGGACACTGGTGGAGCGCCAGAGGCAGGTCCCAGCTGCAACTTCTGCAACCCTGAAAATGCCAAGTATTGGCACTGGTATCTGAAAAGTATCGGTGCATCCCTATTAATAATTATACTGTGTCACTATAATTATTAATAATATTAGCATTCTTTGTGTGCTGTTCTAGTGTTCTATTGTTGGGATACAACAAAAGCCTTTCTTTAGGCCTCTTAAAAAGTATCATGGACAGATCCCTGTGGGCTTTAGCACTTGGATCTGGCAGGATTAGTCAGGTGAGTATAAGACTTGGGGTTACTAGGGGGTAGGGGATAGTTAGAGTATAACTGTAATAAAGTACAAAATACCCAAAGGCTTGCACAGTTCCTCCACAGAACACAGGCAGGGGAACACCAGGTGCTAACTGGCTGGGGCTCGTCCTCACTCCCACGTTAGCTGGCATCAAAACATTAAAACATCCGACGCACTCCAGGTATCACCTGAAACTTATTTTTATTAAAATCACAGTTACACAAAGTCCCACCTCAGGTTCACCCCTCTAATGTGTTTTTCACCCAATACTGGATTAAATTCTATTATTAAGCCCAGGATTGGGTGAAGCGCAATACAGGGGTAGACCTGGGGTGGGACTTTGTGTAACTGTGTGATTTTAATTAAAAGAAGTTTCCAGTGATGCATGGAGTGTGGACGGATGTTTATTGTTTTGTACAAAGCTGCGTCAGGCTTCTCTTTGGATGAAAGTGTATGAAACTGGCTTACACCTGTGCTTGCTACCACACAAAGAAGTTTTCACTTCTAAAATCTGGTTGTTGATCAAAGTGTTTACAACACATGTGCCCCTGCGCAACATCAGCCAAGTTGTAAGGTGCACAGAGGTGGATCCCAACAGGCTACAAGGACAGTCAATGTTAGCAAAACATCTTTCCATCTATGATTACCATAAATATATCACCTGGTCAAGGTGAAGTTGGCCTGTTTTCAGGTTATAATTATGTCTATGAGTGTCTATGTCTATGAGTGCTTTACAACGTTGATATACATATTGGGATCTTGAGACAGACAAGACCCTGAAATGGTAGGACATAGAATAACACTCAAGGGTTTATTCACTAAGTTGCCGAGTGAACAACCGACCCTAAGTGAAATGAGCCGAACGCTGTTCGGCTATTCACTTCAGGCTTGTATGGCTGATTTCAGGCGTATATCAGCTGAAATCAGCTGTACATTGGGTTGGCTTTGGCTGGCTTCGGGTCGGCCGAACATGACCCGAAGTGCAGAAGGAGTTCGACTCAGCCGATCCAACATCTGGATTGGCTAAGGCGAACCTCCGGCAGGCTACTCGCTGCTGTTCGGTCTATTCTCATAGATGCCGAACAGCAGTGAGTAAATAGCCACTGAGTGGCATCCGGCTCTCTCTCTGTGGGACCAAGCAGAATAGCAAAATAGTTAAAAAAGTAGAAAAAAACCCAATAGAAAACGATTGTGCGGAGCTAGCAGTGACAGCTAGCTCCGCCCAACAGTTTTCTATTGGCCGGGCGGTTCTGCTGCCGTAAAAAAAAAAAATATTTCACCATAGGAATGCATAGCTAGATTCCTATTGGCTATTTCAATTTGCAATAGCCAATAGCAAACTAGCTATTGCACCCGCCCTCTGCTGCTGTCAATCACTAGAGGGGACCTGATGGAGAAGTGCAGGCCCCCTCTGCTGATTGACAGCAGCAGTGGGTGGGTGCAATAGCTAGTTGGCTATTGGGTATTGCAATTGAAATAGCCAATAGGTATCTAGCCATGCATTTCTATGGTGATTTTTTTTTTATTCTGACGGCAGCCAACGGCTCGATTTTAGAATTTTAAAAAAAAGCAGGGAAAGGTTCACTCTGCTCGATAAAGCAAAATAAACCTTTCTTGGAGAAAGCGTTTCTCTCCTGGGTGGCCGAGAGCTGCTATCTAATAACGGGAGACTCCCGGAGCGCCCAGGAGAGTTGGGCTGTCTTGAGATCAGTGTCCCTGGTTACCTGGTAACCAGGAACGCTGATCTCTCTGCAAGTGGCCGGAGCCAGCCGTAAGATCACGGCTGGCTCCGCCCAGCCATCAGAAGCAGGCTGTCGGCCAGCTTCGGCTCTCACTTCGGCTCAGTCGAGCCGATGCATATGCCTTTGGCTTGACTGAGCCGATCGGCCCACTTCGGGAGCTGTACGGGCTATAGTGCATAGCCCGTACAGCAGTCCTTCGGTTCTACTGAACCGAAGGGGTCCTGGGGCCGAAGCTAGCCGAAGGATCAGCCAAAGCTATGGCTAGATCCTTCGGCAGCTTTGTGAATAGATCCCCTTAAAGTGGAAGTAAAGTGGTATACTCTTGGGGAAAAAAATCTCCCAGGTGGTTTTTACCCTAATGTGCTGATATGCGCAGCACATTAGCACATTATGTGTAACTTATCCTAAAAATGTTTCCCTCCAGTGCTGCACTGTTCGCTCCCCCCCTCCATCACAGGCTCTGTTATCTTCACCCGCTCTTTTCCAGGTATGGGTTTAGCCTCTTGATTAGCCAGGCCAACATGATGTACCTCATGCATGCTCACGGGAGTTATTCCATCTCGGCATGCTGGGTCTGTCACTGAGCTACACATGTGCAGCTCAGTACACAGAAAAAAATTTGCTGACAGGCAGGTAGGATCAGGTAGGCAGTTTCTTCTGCTTTACTTCCACCTTAAGCGTGTTATGTCTGTCTAAAAACGAAAATCATAAATAGATGCATACCTCCCAGCCTCTCAAAAAATAATCATACATTTCTTCCCGCAGTTGTATTGATGACATGTCATGCTTATTTTTGATAAGACTTACCAACTAAAGCAAACTATTCATTGAATACTCTGCATACAAGATTAGTTGAGACAAATGGCATAATGTTTTCACTAGATGTAGTTTATATCTATACTTAACTGTATATACAAACTTATAATCACATTTCATGATCTTGTCCCTCTGCTCCCTGATGTGTAGCTTGTACAGTCAACCTTTTCTTGGAACTTTGCTACACCTTTCCTCAAAGATGAAGAACATATTTAGCATTTGGTCTGTAGGTAGCACTGACAATTGTAACTATGCTCAGTGGGCTGTCTGTCATGATGAGTTTAAAAAAGAACTCTGGGTGTAAATATACTTAACTCTTATTGTGGATCTACCCCTGCACTGCAAGGGTTAAGTGTTTGTTTTCGTCTAGAGATGAAAATGAAAAAGATATAATAACCTGAACCTCCCTGCCGGCTGGCTATTAGACCAGTTTATGCAGCCTGTCTCCTCCTCCACTCCAGCGATGGAATGCTCCTCAGTGTCCTCAGATCCTATACATTGTATAGGATGTGATGACTCACAGGACCTTAGACTTGCATAGCGGAGGAGGAGTGAGGCTGAAGGGACCAGTCTAGCAGCCAGCTGGCTGTAAGGTATAGGTGACTATATCTTTGTTATTTTCATCCGTAGATGAAAATAAACAATTAACTCTTGCAGTGTGGGGGCAGCCCCACTGCAAGGGTTAAGAATATTTATGCCCGGAGTTCTTCTTTAAGATATGTTTATGTTGCTTTAATTATTATTATTATTATTATTATTACTACCAATGTATTGCTGTTAAATGGAAGTAAGATAATATTAATAATTTGCTCTGCAAGGTGCAATCTGCATTATATAATGGTACCTTTTTGATGACTTCAGTTGCTAATTGTCGTAAAGATGGTGAAGAAACTGAGCGGAGACTGCCATTGCCACTAATGGAATTTTGTAGACCAATATATGTCACAGCATTGCTGGTAAGAATTCTCTGAAAATCCTGTAACAAGAATTACTTTATTATATTATTTTTCCAAGAAGGTGCCTTATTTGACTAAGATTAAGACACATGGGGCTATTTTAAAATATACACATTTGCATTTCAAGGGTTCTGAAGAGAATATAATTCACATTTACCGGTAACAAAATCAACACATACACTCAGCATTTACTTAAAAGCATACAGTGACAAACTATTACAATGCTCAGACAGCTGAAAGGGCTTTAAAATATGTTCTTGACATGAGGAGCACATCAAGCACAGTCATTGCAAAGGCAGCCTGTTCCTTACTAGAAATCCACATTCACGTTGTCAAAAATTCATAATTTTCATAAATTCATATTTTCAAAAAGACCTAACAAGAGAATCAGTTGTATGAATCATTTGACTGATTTGACCGTGTCAATCTCTTTGTACAACAATGAGCCAATTTGCATGAAAATCTCATATTGCGGCAAAGGCAGTGTATCAAAGGTACATTTACTTTGATGGGCAACACAAAATGTTCCTTTTTCTCTAACATAGATTTTTTTTATTCTCCTTTAAACAAAAGTAGATGTAATTGCTGGTGTGCAGCTTTTCTTATTAAAATAAATTATATGTTTATAGGATGCAAAAGCCCATGTATTCATTTTCTTATTTAACTATTCCAAGTATCCAGTGCTTTGTATGTTTGTTAATCATAAATTATGTGTTATAGTAATATAATGTAGTTCTACTTTACATTAACAGCAGGGGCAGATGTAGGACAGCTGATATACAATAATTATACAGTATGTAGCCATACCTTACTGTGTGAATTGCAATATTAAAATGTATTATCGTAAATTATGTTTATACAGGCCAAATCAAATGATTAATATTATTGGAAATATTATGCTAATTAAAACATACAAATCAGTTTACTTTAAGCTTAAACAGGAAGAGACTATTGAACAAAACAGAAGATTTTGGTGGAATGTTGTGAGAATCTTTCAAACATCAATACTGGGATGATCGACGGTATGAAAAAAGTCTCTCAATTTGTTATCACTCTCTGTTAATTTGTCTGGGCTAAGCTGATACAATGCTACCGAGTAGAGATGAGTAATTTTGTGATTTGTTATGAATCTAACAAATGCAAGCATGCATTTTGGGCTCATTGTTGTACATTGTAGTCCTAAACATGTTCATGGCATTTTTCCTGATTAAGCTCCACAGATCAGATGATTTGGCACTTATTTAGAGGAATTGAGGAATCATCTGAAAATTATGAGCTTCATTTGATTCCCCCAGTTGATGAATCAATTCACTCCTCATAAAGTCTATCTTAGATAATAAGAAGTTCACTTTACATGTGCAAAATTGAGTGCATAGTTATAGTATGAGGATAAGCAATGCCCTTATTGTCACTGTCAGGCTCATTCACACCATCTGCTTTTGGGCTGCACTAGACATTTTTTTCCAGCACAGCCCAAATGTAAGACAAGGCAATTTGCCTTATTATGGATGGTGAAAGTTCATACTACTGCGGTCAAGTGGTGTACACTTAAAAAAAGTAAGGCGTGCAGTACTTTTTTTAAGCACACCGCAGTTAGCCATGATATAACAGCAGCACACAGCAGTGAGCCCATAGAACTTTAAAAAAGTCACTTGGAACATTTCAATAAAGTTCTATTAAAAAAAGCAGTGTGATGTGGTTTGATTGAGTGCATTGGCACCGTACAGCACATGCACACCAGCAGCTGTGCCCCCCTCAGCTAGAAACATAGAACTCTCTCTCTAAAACCTTTTGAGATAAGTTAATGTAGTTTACATTACCCCTTTATCTGAGCAACAAAATAAACATATATGGAATGCAAAATCTATAATTTCAATAGGTTCCCCTAAAGTGTCAATTCACTCAAAAGTGATATTTTAGCAAAAGGTGGAGTCCCCTACTGTATATCGTATTCAACAACAAGGTGAAGCAAGTATCTTTTTATTTGTTTACCTTTCCCCACTTGTAAGAGCCAATGTTACCAAATGGAGCTCCTCCCCATGAGCAGAAAATTATTGTTCTTTGTGGCCTCCATCCAGACTTCATCTTAGATATTATGGAGCTGATAATTGATGTCATAATAGCAGCACCACTTGCCCATTGTTTATTGTTTTCCTCAAACAGAGTATAGTGAGAGCTACCAATTATGATGTACTTGTCTGGAAAAAAATATACATTTTAACATTTATTAATATGATAACAAAGTATAATTTTAATTTTAAAGTTCATTTTAGGTACTAGTAGCATCTTAAAACTGAGCAATATCTGCATTTGCAACCTTTTTTTCTGGATTGTATGTATATTTTAAAATGTGTGTGTATGCAGTGTAAATAATTAGCAAAGCTGCATATTTTATCAAAGTGCAAAAATGGCCAGTTTTGATCTGGTGTTAGTTTTAAAAATGCAACCATGCTAATGTATGCTGAAACACCTTTTTTGTATGACCTGTAAAGATACATGTATTTTATACTTTTACTTTCTATTCCTATTCTATTCTATTACCTAATGCCAAACCTATAGCATCAGTGACTTTGGTGGTGGTATTCCAGTGGAGTATATGAGTACTAATGTATCTTAGTCAGATGAGTGGTATGTCTAGGTGTATGAATGGGAACATTCATATAAATTAGTAATGCTGACAGGGATATATACAGGGTTATGAGTAACCCAGCCGAAGTGAAGTGAGCCGAATGCTCTTCAGCTAATCATTCAGGCTCAGTATGGCTGATTTCAGCTGTACATTGACTGAAATCAGCCATACATCAGCTGCCTTCGTTCAGCAGAACATGCTCTGCATATTCGGGTTGAGCCGAAGCATATGCCTTTGGCTCGGCTGAGCCGCTTGGCCGCCTTTGGCTGCTGTAGGGCTATACTGAATAGCCTGTACAGAATCCCTTCAGTTTGACTGAACCGAACGGTTCCAGCAGCCGAAGAGAGCTGAAGGATCAGCCGAAGCTATGGCTGGCTCCTTCGTGAATAACCCCCATAGTATTTCTTTACTATCTATTTGAGTCTCTGGTCCTTGATTGTGTTCTGCCTTCTAATATCTGCACTAAGTGTTACTACTGTAAGAGATAAATACCGTAGTTGTAGATTTATGAGAAAAGCAATGACAACGTATGTGCAATTGCTCACTGTCTGCTGTTATAATATGTTATACACCTTATTTAAGGCACATGTGTAGGCAACTCAGGGCTTTTTTGACAGTTGTGATTGGGAGACAGAAGGGAGGTAGGAGAGGCTCCAGTCTGTGATGCAGCTGAAATTTTTTTTAAATAAAATAAGCATGTTCAGGGCTTTCAAGACACTGAACTCTTGTAAAGAAAAGTCCTTTCTTCTATGTATCTCTAGAATGTTTTAAAGCATTCTTCACCCAACTCAGTCTGCAGTGAAGTCCCAGCATAAAACATCAGTTGCTTCTACTGTGTAGCCTGGTTTTCTAGCAGACATCAGGAGACCCTGACAGCTTTATTTAGATTGCATTCTCACTATTGCTCAAATTTGAGAAAAACCCACTTTATGTTTGTTATGTGTTTCTATTTACACATCATACTTAAAATTAATTTTAAATTTGCTTGCTTCTCTCTACAATTTCTAAGCAACAGGAAATTCTAGCTGTCCCCATAGAAAGACTAGGGATTTTCTGAGCTTCCTCTCATATACATACAATGCTTCTAGATCATTAACCTTTTGTTAGGCAGACAGTGTTAAAATCTAATTTATAACTGATAATGAGATCTGCCAGCACAGTCCAGACAGGGTTAATTATGGTAAACATTAACCTGCCCAGCCCCCTTTGCAGAGAAACTTCTGTTTAGAGGAAATCCTTATTTCACCCAATGCAAGTAATATGTAAACAGAATTTGTTATGCTATGTTATGCTATGCAAAAGAGAACATGCAACAAATATAAAATAGGTGTTATCCCAAGTTGGCTGAAAAAGTGGAAATACAATTTAAGTATAACAAAATAGACCATATTACTTTGATAAGTAGAAGTGAGACTCTTCAATTTACATCTGGTGCGGTGGCTCAAATTCCTGTAAATTTGAAAACTTTTGATGCATATTTACAGTATGTATATTCTTTCTGAAAACAAGTGAATAATTTAATTACCAGATTACTCTTAAGATTACTATTTAGATTTTCCTGTTGAGTTAAAAAGAAAGCTGCCTGGTTACTGAGCTGCACAGAAACATTGGTTGCTAGGATGCAGGTGAGCACACAATAACAATCCATAATGCTGTAAGCCACACAGTGTCATTGGTTGTTACAATGCTGGTGACTCCACAGCATCATTGCTTGTTACGGGGTGTCTGCCTGCATCCTAGCAACCAATTACCCTGTTTGACCCAGTCACTAGCATCCTAGCAGCCAAATACACTGTGCTGCTCACACAAACTTACTGGTTGCTAAAACACAGGTTGCCCTGGAATTAGTCCACTTGGGTCCAGCAAACCCAGTTTAGTTAGCTCATCACTAATCTTAGGCTTCTGTAGTCACTCCATCCAGAATGTTTTAAAAGAAAGGTTAGAACAAGATTCAGAAATATAATTTGAACAATGGAACTAGTGTTTACAAAGTAACAACAGGGTCTAACCATTGCCTAACCAAGTGAAATCCTCATCAGTATTATTCCCTATGATGTTATACTCAATATATAAATATATTCTATAGTTTATATTAACAGAGCAAAGTACATGAGTGGCCCTGTTGCCCTAGAGGATTTAAGGGAAAATTGGATGAAACTACAAGGCACAGACTATATCATAACATCATGGAAAGAGCTGTGTGCAACCAAGAATGTCCAAATAGACAGGAGAGGCAATGATGGGACACATAAAGCTTAACCTCCCTGGCGGTATGATTATGTCAGGAATTTTGTACCAAAAGCGGTATAATGTTTTGCATGGAAATTTGTTGTTTATATTGTAGGCCTGTAATTCTTAGTAAATCTTAGGAATAACTCACCTAAATCTGTCCAAACAAGAGTCCAGTAGACATCCCAGGTATGATAAAGTTTGAAACACGAAATTAAAAAATTATAATATAATAAATTAGAAATAATTATAAGAAATTATAATATAATAAATAATTATAAATAATTATAAAAAATTATAATATAATAATAAAAAAAAATGGTCCAGTAAATGGGAATTCTGGGGGCGCAGCATGATCCGTACCACAGTCAATAGAGTACCAAGTTCACACATCACTGAGCTCGGTCGCTGGTTCGGCCTAGTCTCATAGATGTCGAACAGCAGTGAGTGAATAGCCAAATGCCGCAGAGCGGCATTCGGCTCGGCAATCCTGCTCGATACCTCTGTGGTATTGAGCAGAATAGAAAAATAGTTTAAAAGGTAGAAGAAAGAATAGAAAACGATTGGGCGGGGCTAGCAGTGACAGCTAGCTCCGCCCAACTGTTTTCTATTGGCTGGACGGCTCTTCTGCTGTCAAAATAAAAAATAAAAACACAAACTCTCCCAGAAAGTTTTACTCTGCTCGATCGAGCAGAGTAAACCTTTCCCTGCTCTGTTGTCTTTTTTTTCTGATATTCTTCTGCCATCAGAAGAAAAAAAAAGCATAGAAATGCATAGCTACATTCCTATTGACTATTTCAATTTGCAATATCCAATAGCAAACTAGCTATTGCACCAGCCCTCTGCTGCTCTCAATCACTAAAGGGGACCTGATGGAGAACTGCAGGTCCCCTCTGCTGACTGTTGGCGCTATATTCCTTATATTGTAAAGCGCTGTGCAAACTGTTGGCGCTATATAAATCCTGTATAAAAATAATAATAATAATGTTCTGAATGAGTACCAGGTCCAGTTACTATGTGATGAACAAACCATGAGGTTTGTTTGGACAAACCATGTACACTTAGTACACAGAAACACCTAATCAATACACCGGCTGGTGATTGAAAACCCTTTTCCCACACCTGATTGTTGTATCCAGGATGGCAGATACAGTATGTGTGTCCCAGGTTCAGGCTGTATACTGTTTTCTTCAACTAAGGGGAAGTGCTGGGAATGCTGGAGTGGTAGAGGTAATGAGCTCAGCTGAAGCAAGCTGGCTCTTTAGGCCCTCTATATAAACTCACAGCCTGCTTAGAGAATTGCTCTACCCTGGAACCAGTTTCTGAGCCTGAATAGGCTGGGGAGCTTTGAACCTGCCTTTGTGGTGAAAACCCCAACTCATGCGAGATACAGCCTGTGTGGCAACTTGTTAAGCAGGGGCAGCACAAGGTTGCATCTAGCTGATAGTCAGGGAAACTGTGTGTAGTAAGTCACATATAGGCAAGGATTTATTTTCATGTTTTCTTTTATTTTGCTAATTTATGTCTGTAACTAGTGTAAATAAATTGCGTGTGTGTTCTTACCAGAAAAATCATAGCTTGCTGTGCCTGTTTACTGTGTCCATCCAGGGAGTCACACCCACTGCCGAGCTAACACCCTAACAATAAATTTATACACCCAAAAAATTGCAATAGAGTCATTGAACTATGATAGAAATTATTATATTAACATGAATATATTTATAGTAAAATAGACAATGTGACAAAACACTAATTCCCCAAAAATAGAGGTCATTATCTCAGGATCAGGGATCATGTGTAATTACAGTAGAATGATAACTAGAGCATCTGCAGCACATTCATTTTTAAAATAAAGAAAAAGAGAATAAAAAAGAAGTACATAGTGCTCATTAAGAAGTCATGGAAGGGTTAATGGTTGTTTCAATATGCAGTGGTGGCAGTATAACTTTAGATGTCTTGTTTCTTTAGAAAAAACAAGTTTAATTTCCAGGTAAAGCTGTGCAAGAAACCTATTTGCTGAAACTATTTAGCTGATCATCATGATCTTCAATCTATCTAGTAAAAACTGCAGGCATTTTAAGCCAGTCCATGCAGGAGGTGGGGCATGGGCCAGTTATCATTCCACTGTAGTTACCATTCCATATTAATTCATTTGACTCAGAATACACAGATGCAGAGTACAGGCAAAAGATAAAAGAGATCATCTTGGAAAGCTTCCAAGGCAGGATTTGAGTCTATGGCCATTACAAGGACTGAATGGACTGGCGGGCAAAGCCTACACCTTTCACAAGGTAGATACTAAACATTCTCAACAAATAACTTTTCTGCACTACTTTAAAT